AAGCAGTGGTATCAACGCAGAGTACTTGTCCTCGTCTACCTTAAATACACCATCATGAAGAGCCTTTAATTCCAGCTTACCTTCCTTCGGCTTGCCATTTACCTCCATGCCCTCACCCTGACAAAGCTCACGCAAAATTTCCGCTGCTTCGTCCTCATGGAGCTTGCTCTCATCCTTCTCCCAAATATAAAGATGTTCCTTGCCTAGTGACAGCAGAACAGGAATATCCTCCTCGGTTACGATATGTCCCTTGCGAAAACGTGCATCCTTCGTCACGCCCTTGATAATCTGAGTTATATCATGACACAGTACATGTCCTACTGCATCCTTTGTATCTATCAGCTTCATAGCCAATCCCCCAAAACAATATTATTTTGTATTAATTATAACGCATTTTATCAATAAAATCAATTATACAAAAATAAAATACTTGACAGGTAAAAACTATTAACATTAAAATAAAAATAGGTTTTAAATGTAAGAAAACACCAGCTTTGAAATCACTGTGAAAGGACATATTATGAAAAAGCTTCTTATATTATCACTCCTAATCATCACTACAATTATTACAGGCTGCAGCCACACGGCAAACACCGAAAATACAGAAAAAGAAATTCATATCGCAGCCGCCGCAAGTCTTACAGATGTTATGAAGGAATTAGCTGTAAGTTTCAATAATGAATATCCAGATATAAACATCACCTTTAACTTTGGCAGCTCAGGCGCACTACAGCAGGCAATCGAAAATGGTGGCGAAACTGATTTATTCTATTCCGCAGGACAGAAACAGATGGACTCTCTGGAAAAAGCAGAACTACTGATAGATGGCACCCGTCATAACCTCCTGATAAACGAACTCGTTTTAATCGTACCTGCCAAAGACGGAAAGGATATACAAAGCTTTGAGGACTTAACTCGAAGTGACATAAATAAAATCGCTGTTGGTGGCGAGGGTGTACCTGTTGGACAATATACCAAAGAAATATTCGTAAACATGAATTTGCTGGACAGGGTTAAGGACAAAGAAATTCTCGCTACCGATGCACGTCAGGTACTTAGCTGGGTAGGCACAGGCGAAGCAGATTGCGGTGTAGTATACGCTACAGATGCGGCCATTTCACCAGATGTAAAAACCATTTGCACTGCACCATCAGACAGCCATACCCCAATAATTTATCCAGCAGCCGCCATCAAAGACAGCAGGCACTACGAAAACGCAAATAAATTTCTTGACTTCACCACATCAGATAAAGCCAAACCTATTTTCCGTAAATACGGCTTTGAGGTAAAATAACTATGCTCGAATTATCGCCACTTATAATATCATTAAAAACTGCACTGACAGCTACCATCTTCACCTTTTTTATGGGAATCGGCCTGGCTCTTGCCGTAACGAAAATGAAGCGATTTCAAGGACTTGCAGATGCGCTCATCACACTTCCTATGGTACTGCCACCTACGGTCATAGGATTTTTCCTGCTGCTATTTCTAGGAAAAAGAAGCTTTATCGGGCAAATGCTGTTACAGCTCGACATATCCCTCGTATTCAGCTGGTATGCTGCTGTAATCGCCGCCATCATCGTCAGCCTTCCCCTTATGTACCGCACAGCACGAGGAGCCTTTGAACAAATCGACAAAAACATATTAGATGCAGCACGAACACTAGGGGTATCTGAGTGGCGAATCTTCTGGCGCATCCTGCTCCCTAACTCATGGCATGGCATACTTGCAGGTGTGGTGCTTTCCTTTACCAGAGCTATCGGAGAATTTGGTGCAACCATCATGTTCGCCGGAAACATACCAAACAAAACACAAACCATGTCAACAGCCATCTACGCCGCAGTACAAGCCAATGACTACGACCTCGCCTTCGACTGGGCGATTATAATAATTGTATTTTCTCTGTTTTTCGTAGCTTTGATGAACCTGTACACCAGCAAGATGATGAAATAACACGCCCCCTCTCAGCTATTTCCACCACTTAGATAAGCCAAAGGAAAAATACCATGAACCTAATTGTAAATATACAAAAAAAATTACGTGACTTCACTTTAAACGTAGACTTCCAGACTAAAGATGAAGTATTTGCCCTGCTGGGAGCATCAGGCTGTGGCAAAAGCATGACACTGAAATGTATCGCAGGGAATAGAAACACCCGACAGCGGTTTTATCAGCCTTAACGGAAAAGTGCTTTTCGATAGTAAAAATAAAATCAACCTGCCACCGCAGAAACGAAAAATCGGCTACCTTTTCCAAAACTACGCCCTGTTCCCCAACATGACAGTTATAGAAAATATTGCCTTTGCTGCAACTGGAGATAAAAAAAAGAAAGTGCAGGAAAATATTAAACGATTCGCACTTGAAGGACTGGAAAAAGCATACCCCAGTGAACTATCTGGCGGACAACAGCAACGAACAGCATTGGCACGAATACTGGCGGCAGACTGCGAACTTCTGCTGCTAGACGAACCATTCTCCGCACTGGACAACTATCTGAAATGGCAAATCGAACTTGAACTTACCAAGATACTAAAAGAATATGGTAACGCTGCCCTGCTGGTATCTCATGACAGAGGAGAAGTATTCCGTCTGGCAGACACTATCGCTGTACTAAACAAAGGACATATAGACGCATTAAACACTAAGCATGAACTTTTCGCAGACCCTAAAACACTGGCTTCCACCCTGCTTACAGGTTGCAAAAACGTATCAAAGGCACACTACATAGACGAACACACACTATACGCTGACGACTGGAATATACAGCTTCACTCAACTGCCACCGTACCAACAAACCTGCGATATGCAGCCCTGCGCGCCCACTATATCACTGCAGCAGAAGATAACACTGCAGATAATACCTTCACCATGAATGTTTGTCAGGAAATAGAAGACACATTTTCCTATATCATCATGGTTAAGCCTGCTGAAAATGATAGCTCGCCTATCCGCTGGGAAATTGATAAAGCTACATGGAAAAATAAAAAATCGGAAAGCCTGCTTTTATGCCTGCCTTCCGATAAACTGCTATTATTAACCATGTAGAATTACTTCAATGACTTATTAATTTCCTCCCTAACATGCTCCAGAGCTTGAGTAGAAGTAACTTCTTTACCACCGATGAAATACTTGTTGTCGTTTATAATTCCACCGTAATCATCTACCTTAACACCATACTTAGCAAAAGTCTGAGTCACAGTCTCGCAATTAGTCTTAGCATCCTTAGGGATTGCGCCCATATCCTGTAAAGCAGAAAAATCCCTAATGCTCTGAATGAGAGTACCGCCTGCTACCTGATCCAAATCATCATCATTTAATAAAACCTTCTCGTCTGCCATAATTGCATCCTCCCTAATAAATATTATCTTTATTTTTCTTTCATACCTTATACGCAAAACCTTGCCTATTATTACATGAAAGACCATTATTTTTTATTTAATACTCAATTAACAGTATATAGCAAAATCAGCAAAAAATCAACCTATTCATTAAATTAATCAATATTTTGCACAATATAAAATAAATAACACATGAGCTATCATAAAAATAGGCACTAATATATAGAACTTCTTGTGCTTAGTTTTATGGCGGAAAATCTGCATGGCAAGATACGCACCAACACTGCCAAAAGCAAATGCAAATAACAACAGTATTTTCTCTGGCACTCGCCAGCTATGACGTATAGCGCACAGCTTGTCCCATCCATACAGCAAAAATGTTATTATGTTTAAACATGCTAGTATCGTAATCAACGCATAACCTCCACTATTTTAATATTTTTTCAATCACACAATGATGTACTCTATCCTCTTTTGCCTTATCCCTGTCATAGCTTATGCCTACCAGCAATATTTCACCAGTATAATTTTCCAATGCCTTTACATACTGTTTTTTCTTAATCTGATTTATAGCGGTTTCAGCTGTATTATCCCATTTCAGTTCTACTATCATAGCTGGTCTATCAGCATATTGTGGCAATGGTATATATACCAGATCGGCAAAGCCCTTTCCTGTTGGCAATTCTCGAATCAGATCATAATAATTTCTTGCGGCATACAAAGCAAGTGATACTGTATATGATAACGCATTTTCATCATTGTACTGTAAATGTGATGTCTCTAAATGTGCTTCCTCCATGCCAGCTGCTACTGCTTCAGCATTACCTGCCATCAGTGCATTAAGCATTTCATCAGATTTCTTTATTGCATTAGCAATCTTTGACCAATCATGGCTATCCTCAATAGAGTTTTTAAACTCGCATAGGATTTCACGATTTGGCACTCGTACAGTACCATTATGTGAATTATACGACAGATATCCTAAATGTACTAACAAAGTTAACACATCATCATTACTGTTAAATGTCACCATGTCATTTTCAAACTTAAGAGGATTAACAGGATATTCATTACCTGCAATAAGTGCAATCATAATATCCTTTAAACCATCACGATTAAGTAATATATATTTTTGCAAAGCAATGTATGTCTCAGTTTTATTCCAGTAATTATGAAATTCATGAGTATCTATTGCTCTACTTACAGAAACAGGATTATATATTTCATACACCACATCAACAACCTTGTTATCTATAACGGCTTTTTTAGCAAAACGATAACCATCATACCATGTTTTGCACTCATTATAATTCAAATAAAATTTATTGCACAACATCTTTATTTCGTCATCTGTGAAACCAAAATACTCAGCTGATTCATAAGGTGCTTCTGCCGAATATCCATAAAAAATGTTAAGTGCAGAATGTTCACCATATTTTTTTATTGGCAAAATTCCTGTCATATATCCTAGTGCAATATAAGGCTTGTCCTTCAGCCAATTACGCAAAAAATCCAAGTATGTCCTTTGTGCTATTTCATCTGTCTGATATCTTCTGAAAACACAATCCCATTCATCAATAATAATAACATATTTACGTTTTGTATTGCGATAAAGCTTCTCAATTACCTTAGTAAAATTAATCTTATCACCAAAATCAATATCAGGGAACTCCTCCATTATATCATCTATAATATCTTCTTTCAGATTGGCAATCATTTCACCTATACTGCTAGCAGAAGTCATAAAATCAATCATATTTATTTTCAGCACATTGTATTTATTAGCGTGCTTCTCAAAAGAGTTATCCTGCATTATCTTTTTATCTTTAAATAATAGTGGTGCATTGGTTGTACAGTCATAGTATGCAGAAATCATATTGGCAGCCATTGTTTTTCCGAAACGGCGTGGACGGCTTACGCATACATATTTTTTCTGTGTTGAAATTATCGTATTTATATAACATAGCCAGCCAGATTTATCCACATGCGTATTTGTTGCTAACGCCTGCTCATACATATCACTGCCCGGATTTATAATCATCCCCATAAATAACACCACCTATCAATATTATTAGCCCAATATCCTTTTCATCGCTTCAAAAATAATAACTATTTTTATTATATCATATACAAACATAAATGTACACAATAAGATTATCTACTTGACCATATTTTATCTTAATGTTAAAATATTAATATACTTATTTTATGAAAGGAACATGACAATGAACAAGGATTTTTTACATGCTTTTATAGAGAATGGTCTAGTGAAGAACAATCAGGACACTGCAAAAATGCGTGGTGAGGAAATGCCTCTCCCAGAGAAGCCTATTCCTCCTAATTCCTATGTTTACTCTCTCCCCAGCCCAGATATTTTCAACGATTATGAAGTCAGTTTCTTAGAGCTGATTGAGTGTCGCAATTCCATTCGCACTTATTCTGATGAGCCTCTTACCTTGAAGGATTTATCCTATCTTCTCTGGTGTACGCAGGGTGTAAAGGAAATGCTCACACCAAAAGTAACAAGGCGCAACGTACCTTCTGCTGGTGGTCGTCACGCCTTTGAAACCTATCTTTATATCAATAATGTTGAGGGATTGGAAAAGGGTATTTATCGTTTCCTTGCCCTCGGTCATGCACTGCTGCCTATAGATACCAGTGCTGATGTTCTTGACCGTCTTAAGCCTTGCTTCAACAGACCAAAGCTCTTAGAGGACTGCGCTGTTGCTTTCATCTGGGCTGCTGACCTCAACCGCATGGAGTATACCTTTGGCGGTCGCTCCTTGCAGTACCTCTATATAGATGCAGGTCATGTCTGCCAGAATCTCTACCTTGCTGGCTACACCATACAGACTGGCGTATGTGCCGTAGGTCATTTCCACGACCATGAGCTAAACAGCTTCCTCGGTCTTGATGAAGAAAATGAGTTTGTTGTTTATGCCGCTACTGCCGGCAAGGTTCCTAACTGAGTTATTTGTAAATACGAGGTACTCGTGGGCTAAGCATACATGGCAATTCATAGTTGATAGTCCCCAGCCAGTTTGCCGCTTCATCAGTAGTAAGTGTAACAGAGCCATAGAGAACTACAGTATCGCCCTGCTTTATCTCAGGAATATCTGTAAAATCTGCCATACACTGGTCCATGCAAATTCTGCCAGCTATCGGCGCACGTTTGCCGTTAAATTCCACCTGTGCCTTACCTGTGAACAATCTAGTATATCCATCAGCATATCCAAGAGGGAGCGTTCCTATACGGCTCTCTCTTTTTGCTGTGAAGGTACAGCCATAGCTGATACTCTCGCCCTCATGCAAGGTCTTCATATACACAACCTTTGCACACAGCTTCAACACCTGCTTTAATTCTATCACATGCTCCACCTCGTCAGATGGCCACAATCCATAAAGGATAATTCCTGCACGAACCATGTCAAAATGTGCTTCAGGCATTTCCAAGATGGCGGCAGAGTTAGCGATATGACGGATAGCCACCTTAACGCCAGCCTCTTCTATTTTCCTCAATGCTAGCTTGAAATTATCCAGCTGCTTATGTGCAAAGCTCTTATCTTTCACATCTGCTAAAGCAAAGTGAGAGAATACTCCTTCCACTGTAATATTTGGCAATTCTGAGATTTCCCTTGCAAATTCGCCTGCCACTTCAGGACGCACACCTATACGGCTCATACCAGTATCTACCTTGACATGCACCTTGGCAGCCTTACCGCGCCGCATTGCTTCTGCGGATATTGCTTTTGCCTGCTCTACCGTAAAAACTGCCTGTGTGATATCATAGTCTACCAATAAAGCCGCACTTTCCAGCGGAGTTGCTCCCAGTATAAGGATAGGTGTAGTGAAGCCTGCCTTTCGCAGCTCTATAGCCTCATCAATTACTGCTGCAGCCAGATAGTCAGCTCCCATTTCCACAGCCTTTTTAGCTACTTCTATTGCACCATGACCGTAGGCATTTGCCTTGACTACAGCACAGAATTTTGCGTTTCCCTTGATACATGATTTTATGTTGCGAATGTTATCCTCTAGGGCATTCATGTCTATTTCTGCCCAAACAGCACGATTTGCCATTTTTCCATCTCCTAAAAGTTAAGGGCGAGAAATCCTCTCGCCCAATTTTGTATTTATTAAAGTTCGTTTTTCTTAATTTCAGTGATACCGCCCATGTAAGGAACAAGAGCTTCTGGAATCTTGATAGTGCCATCTGCCTGCTGATAGTTCTCCAAAATAGCAGCGAATGTACGACCAACAGCCAAACCGGAGCCATTCAAAGTATGTACGAATTCAGGCTTGCCCTTTGCTTCACGACGGAACTTGATGTTTGCACGACGTGCCTGGAAGTCAAGGCAATTGGAGCAGGAAGAAATCTCACGATAGGTATTCTGACCTGGCATCCAAACCTCGATATCATAGGTCTTAGCGGAAGTAAAGCCCATATCACCAGTGCAAAGCAGAACTACACGATATGGCAGACCAAGACGGCGCAGAATATCCTCTGCATCATCAGTCATCTTCTCCAGCTCATCCCAGGAATTTTCTGGCATACAGAACTTAATCAGCTCTACCTTGTTAAACTGATGCTGACGAATCAGACCACGGGTATCACGACCTGCACTGCCAGCCTCGGCACGATAGCAAGCGGTATATGCGCAATAATGCTCTGGCAGGTTCTTGCCATCGAGAATTTCTTCACGATGATAGTTAGTAGTAGGAACCTCTGCAGTCGGAACCATGTAGTAATCCAAGCCTTCCAGCTTGAACATATCCTCTGCAAACTTAGGGAGCTGACCAGTACCTGTCATGCTGTCCTTGTTAGCAACGCATGGTGCCAGCATCTCAGTGTAGCCATGATGGAATGCATGAGTATCCATCATAAAGTTAATCAATGCACGCTCAAGTCTTGCGCCCAACCCCTTATAGAAGGTGAAACGTGCGCCAGTAACCTTCGCAGCACGCTCTGCATCAATAATATCCAGTGCCTCACCTAAATCCCAATGTGCCTTTGGCTCAAAGTCAAACTTGGTAGGCTCTAAGTAACGGCGAACCTCTGGGTTATCGCTGTCATCCTTGCCGTAAGGAACATCCTCCTTTGGCATATTTGGAATACGCAGCATGAAATCACGCAGCTCAGTTTCAACTTCCTTCAGCTGACCATCCAGCTCAGAAATCTTCTCGCCGACCTGACGCATCTCTGCCATTACTGCATCAGCATTTTCGCCATTCTTCTTCATAGCACCAATCTGCTTAGAAACAGTATTGCGCTGATTCTTCAGTACCTCAACCTCTGCCAAAATCTCGCGGCGCTTCTTCTCCAGAGTGGTAAAACCATCCAAAGAAAGGCTGTTATTACGCTTCTCCAGCATCTGCTGAACAGCTTCCATATTTTCACGTACAAACTTAATATCTAACACGTCAAAAGACCTCCATAAGTACTCTGCGTTGATACCACTGCTTTACTATATTTTTCACCATTTGTAAAAGAATATTTTCCTAAATTCGTATTTCAAAATGACTTTTCTTATCATCATTTTTCGGTTTGAGTCGGACAGGCTTAGCTTCTGGCAATAAAGCTTCAATATCCGTAGGTGCTGCCGCCTTCCTTACAGCTTTTTTTGCTATCCTGCTGCTTTGGCATATTTTCTCCAGCCTCTGTAGAATACGCTTTTTCTGCGGTTTTCTTCATGTAGGAAGTCTGTTCAAAGCCAGTCCCTTCACGCCTTTTCATGAAATTCATTACAACGAAAGACGCAAATGCCACCACAAATACAAGCAAAAAACGGCCAATAGCTTACATGCCCGCCTGTCATGCTGTCAAATATACCGTCATCATGAGGTGCAACCTTCAATGAACCTTCCTGAGTGTCACTTCCGCCACCATAAAACGGCACAGTAGATGTTTGTGCCTGCTCATCAGCTTTTTCCTGATTTCCTTTTGCATCCTGCGAAGTGCCAGCCTTGCCATCCTTAGCCCCAGTCTTTTCCTTGCCTGTCTGAGATTTTGTTTTAGCCTTCGCATCTGCCTTTGCCTTCTGCTCAACCGTCAGATTGGCGGGTTCTGCTTCCTCTGCTGGCTCAGCTTCATTAGAAAAGTTTTTCTGCACAGCCTCACTGCCACCAATATTTATATGTACACCAAATCGTTCTGCTGGCGTATGGAAGCTCACCTGATGGCACAGAAGGGACCATTACTATCCATCTGAACCTCTGGCGTATAGTTATTGCCATCCAGTGATGGTGGTGTAGGCTTCGTAGGCGGTGTAGGTGCTTTCACTGCCAAAGCATATCACCTCGAAAATCAGTCTTCATTTGGCTTGCAGCGTTTACATGGAGCGTAACGAGCTGCTTCAGCCTCTTTATTATCTGCGAACTCCGTCTTCTGAGATTTGATAGTTTCTACCTTTGGGACAGCCAGGACGATGATATATCCCTGTATAAGAATCACCGATACGATTTACCTCAGCATGAGAAATATCGTTAAAATCTTCTTCTACAGAAGAACTATACATGGAATATCCACCTGCTAATACTGCCACTAATAAAATAAATGGTATGATACGCTTAATCATAAAACTACCTCCGATTAAAATTATCTTCTTATATAATACCATATATCAAGACTATAAACAAGAAATTTCTCTACTCAGTCGAACACTCCTAACAACCAGTACTCTGCGTTGATACCACTGCTTCTTAATCACTTTTTAATTGCTAATTAGCAAGCGCCCAGAGCCTTAGCTACAACAGCTGCGAACAGAGCACCGCACATAGGAGCGATACATGGAACCCAAGCATAACCCCAGTTGCCATCACCCTTGTTAGGAATTGGCAGAATAGCGAATGCGATACGAGGTCCGAGGTCACGAGCCATGTTCATAGCGTAACCGGAGCAGCCACCCAAGGAAAGACCGATTGCAACGATCAGCAGACCTACGCAGTATGGACCGAAGCCAACAGGCATTGGCTGGTTAGGAGCAGCGAAGATCATCAGGATGCAGAACATCAGGAAGAAGGTAGCGATGAACTCGGAGATGAAGCCGTTTACACAGCCGCCAGTAGCGGAACCGGTGGAGAAGATACCAACCTTGCCGCCAGGAGTCTCGCTCCAATGACCCAAGAATGCCAAGTATACGATGATAGAACCGCAGATACCACCAGCGATCTGAGCGATGGAAGTAGCTACGAACTGACCTACAGTGTAAGTACCCAGGAAGGTCTTAGCGATAGTAACGGAAGGGTTCAGGTCAGCCTGTGGTGCGCCCAAAGCACAAGAAGTGTAAACACCCAGCAATACTGCAAAACCCCAGCCCCATGCGGTACAAATCCAGCCTGCACCCTTAGCATAGGACTTCTCAAGGCTCAGGTTAGCGTTAACGCCAACACCGAATACCATCAGTACCATAGTACCCATGAACTCGCCTAACAAATTATCCATTTTTCATCCCTCTTTCAATAATAGATAGAATTATTGCCGACAGCACCCGCTGCCAAAATATAATGATACCAAACATCGTCAGCTGCCCAACTGCCTCTTCCAGTCGAGCAGCATCCGATGTGAAATCCGAACTAAATTACTATTTAAGCAACTAACTTAGAGTAAATATTACTCCTCGTCATCCAGCCAATGCATAGCGTGCTTAACAGCCTTTCTCCAGCCCTTGTAGAGCTCAGCAGCCTTTGCAGGCTCCATAACAGGCTCGAAGCGAACATCAAGCTTCCAAGCGGACTTGAGCTCTTCCTTATTCTGCCATACGCCTACTGCAAGACCTGCCAGATAAGCAAGTACTCTGCGTTGATACCACTGCTTTTGAGGACGATCTACAGGAACGCCGAGGATATCAGCCTGGAACTGCATCATCAGGTTGTTAGCAACAGCACCACCGTCAACCTTCAGGGAAGCCAGCTTAATGCCGGAGTCAGCTTCCATAGCACCCAGAACGTCCTTAGTCTGATATGCCAAGGACTCCAGAGTAGCACGAACGATGTGTGCCTTAGTGGTACCACGAGTGATACCGATAATCAGACCACGAGCGTTCTCATCCCAGTATGGAGCACCCAGACCAACGAATGCAGGAACGAGATATACACCAGCGGTGTCCTTAACCTTCTTAGCAACCCACTCAGAATCTGGAGCGGAGTCAACCATGCGAGCACCATCACGCAGCCACTGAATAGCGGAACCTGCTACGAAGATAGAACCTTCGAGAGCGTACTCTACCTTGCCATCTAAGCCCCAAGCGATAGTAGTAACCAGACCATTCTTGGACTCCTTGATGTCAGTACCAGTGTTCATCAGCATGAAGCAGCCAGTACCATAGGTGTTCTTAGCCATACCTGGCTCGAAGCAGTTCTGACCGAACAGAGCGGACTGCTGGTCACCAGCTGCACCAGATACAGGAATGCTTGCACCCAGAATAGAAGGAACAGTGTAGCCATATACGCTGGAAGAAGGACGAACCTCAGGCAGCATGGACTTTGGAACGCCGAGGTAACCCATCAGCTGCTCATCCCACTTCAGCTCCTTGATGTTGTAAATCAAGGTACGGGAAGCGTTGGAGTAGTCAGTTACATGAGCCTTGCCACCGGTCAGCTTCCAGATCAGCCAAGTATCAATGGTACCGAAAATCAGATCGCCAGCCTCAGCCTTAGCGCGTGCACCCTCAACCTTGTCGAGAATCCAGGTAATCTTGGTGCCGGAGAAATAAGCGTCGATAGTCAGACCAGTCTTGGACTTGAACTCCTCGGTCAGACCCTTCTTCTTCAGATCCTCAGAGATACCTGCGGTCTGACGGGACTGCCAAACGATTGCGTTGTAAACAGGACGGCCAGTGTTCTTGTCCCATACAACAGTGGTCTCACGCTGATTGGTAATACCAATTGCAGCGATGTCGCTAGCTGCCAGGCCACTCTGCTCAAGAGCTTCCTTCATAACAGTGCTCATGCTGGACCAGATTTCATCTGCATCATGCTCTACCCAGCCAGGCTCAGGGAAGTACTGAGTGAACTCCTTCTGAGACACGCCTACGATCTTGGAGTTCTCATCGAAGATGATCGCTCTGTTGGAAGTGGTACCTGCATCTAACGCCATTACATACTTCTTTGCCATTGTTAATAATCCCCCTCTTAAATTACGTTCAGCAATTCACGCTACCCTCAACCATTCCCTAATTGATTAAAGATTGTAAATTGTCTGACAATGTTATCTGTTAGGTATCATTATACCTTATTTGTTCGAAATAATCAAGCATTTTTGTAAACAAAATCAAGTTTTTTTTAAGAAATTTTGCTTATTTTATATTTATTTGTATGCTTGTGCCAAAATCTGGATTGGATGACAAGTTGAAGCAGATGTTCCATGCTTAATCTGCTCACGGCAGGTACCGCAATCGCAGACTACCTGACTTGCACCGCTCTCCTTGATAGCAGTAAACAGCTTTTCGCCAACCTTCATGGATGTCTCGTAATTCTCCTTGCGGAAACCATAGTTACCAGACATACCACAGCAGCCAGCGTCGACATTCTCGATGTTTACGCCAATCTCGCGAAGCATTTCGAGAGCTGGCAGACCCATGCCCTGTGCACGCAGATGACATGGTGCATGATAGATAAGCTTCTGACCATTGCTAGCCTGTGGCAGCTTCAGCTCGCCCTTCTCCTGCATGATAACCAGATACTCGAAATCATCATATACGTTCTGTGCAGCTTCCTTCATCTCAGACTGTGCAAACAGCTCAGTATACTCATTTTTGAGCATAAGTGCGCAAGAAGTACAAGAAGCAATCACAGGAATACCCTTACGAGCATATTCAAGGATAATAGATACGTTGGTATCTGCATGACTGCGAGCCTCATCCAAATAGCCGCCAACTACTAATGGAGAACCGCAGCATACGAAACGCTCATCATAAATTACTTCAATATCATTAGCATTCATTACCTTAACAAATGCCTGACCTACCTCTGGATTGTTAGTATCGATGTAGCAGCCAGGGAAGTAAACAACCTGACGCTTCTTTGCACCAGTCTGGCTGTAGCCCTTAATCCACTCACGGAAGTAGGTGGTCGCATAACGAGGAGTTGGACGTGGTGCCATGTTTACACCGCCCATGCTCATCATTACACCCATCAGGCCAGTTGCCTCACCAATACCCATACCGATGTTAGCAAAGGTACGGCCCAGTGGAATGCCCTGCAGCATGTTTGCCATCTGGAAACCATGGCACAGCATTTCATCAGTCTTGGTATGTGCCTCTGGATGCTGCTGATAGTACTTACCACGCTCCAGCATATTCAATGTAGAAACTGATACGCCATGTGGGCAGTTGATATCACAATTCTTACAGTTGGAGCACAGCTTCAGGGTGTCCTCGTAATCGCTGGCATCAGAGAAATGCATACGATTGTGAGCAGGTCCTACAAGCTTTGGTCCTTTATATTCACCATTCACTCTGGTAATTGGGCAGGCTGCAATACATGAGGTGCAAGCGACGCAATTATCAGCTGAATCTCTGGCTCTTTCTTCAAGTTCCATAATATAATACCCCTTTCATCAAGCCTTGGCAGCCTTGTACGCAGAAGACAATGCAACGCCATTGCCAGAATGCTCAAAGCAGAAGTCATAACCGCTCAAATTACGGCCTACTACATATACGTTCTCAATCAGCTTGCCATTAACAGTACCGCGGAGAGTATCATCAACCTTCACGCCTGCCAATGCGAAGCCCTGCTTCTTGTCGGAGAACAGCTGCTTATTTGCCCAAGTTTCCTCGTTGCACTCAGCCTCAGTATCCAACCCGAATACCATTTCCTTAACCTTGCCCATATCACGCATGGTGATACCGCCATTATAGAAACCGCCAGTTGCCAGGATGAACTTGTTTGCGTAATAGGTCTGCATGCGAACCTCGCCACCAGCCTTGATAGCAGTTACCTTATTGCCGTTGAAAACAGCTTCCTCAGCCTTTGCATTCTCTACGATGGTTGCACCCTTCTTCTTCAGTGCGGAAACCAGTGCATCACGCAGGCGAAGACCATTTACAGAAGGTGGCATACCAGTAGTCTCAACTACATCACAGCCTAATTCAGCAGTAAGCTTCTTATATACGGTATTACCCTTAGTACCAAGAATCTGTGGCAGCAGGATAACCTTGCCGCTGCCTGCGTGGGATTTCAGCTGGCTTGCTAAAGAATTATAGCCCTCTGCAGTGTCAGCCCACAGTGCCACGTCACGAGTAGTCATATCGCGGCCACCCTTGATACCGGTGTCGATAGTAGTTATGGTAATCTTCTTACCTGGAATCCATTTCTCCAGATTTTCCTTTACCATGTCTACGTAATAATCCTTCAAATCCTTCACGCCTGCAAGTACAATCTCGGAAGCGTTGAAGCACTTAGCACCCTGCATAGACTCTGGAACAAGAGCGGTAGGCTTCATGGTACCAACACCAGTTACCAGCCACTGCTGCTTATCAGCAGAACCCACATAAGGCATACCCTCAGCAGCTACAGTGTCCATGAAGAACTTAACGGACTCCTTAACAGTTGCTGCACCAATCTTCTTATATGGATGACCCTCAGCAACATTAGCAATAGCATCGATAGGATTAGCTACTGCCTTGCCATTGTCATCATAGCCTAAAATATCAATTACACCGCTGTTCAGAGGGAAAGTACCTGCACCGAAGGACAGCAGTGTTACCTTCTTGCCCTGATTTGCACTTACCAAAGCGGAAATCAAGCCGGCAACGCCGTTACCGATAACAACTACATCTGATTTGCTCATTCCGGTCTACCCCCATTTACATTAAACAGCAATTCATACATACCTCTTGTCATCTCTGCCTCGCGGATGGTCTTACCCATCATAACAGGGGTAATGCCCTTCCAACGTGCCTGCAAGAAGTTCTTCATATCTGCCAAGGTGTCAGGAATCTCTTCGGAGGTTTCCTTAAACAGCTTGTGAGTGAGAGCAGCAGCACGGATTGCACAGTAGTTACCCTGACAAGTACCCATGCCCAGACGTGTACGACGGCGAACATCGGCAACGCTGTGGCTGCTTGGGTCCTTTGCAATCTGCTGAATCTCTGCCATAGTTACGTTCTCGCACTCGCAGATAACTTCGCGGGTCTCTGGCTTCTCCTGCAGGGTCTTTACAACCTCTGGGAACTTGTCTACGCCAAGACGAGTAGCAGCCAGGTTTACACCATAAGCAGGGAAATACTGACGAGCTGCTCTGCGCTCCTCTTCGGAAACAGCAGGAACCAGATCCTCCTCAGCAGTGCGGCAGTGGCTCTTCTTATTGAACATCTTCTGCTCAAGAACATCACAGAACTTCTCAGCCATCAGACGATAGGTGGTGAACTTACCGCCGCAGATAGTCATCATGCCCTTCAAGCCGTCTTCAGCCTCATGGTCGATGGTAACAAAGCCACGGGAAGCATTACGGCCGCCTTCAGCACCCTTTGGAACATACAGAGGACGGGAGCCGGCAAATACGCGGAGCATACGATATTCACGCAGATGCTCAAATACGCCTTCACCAGTCTTCATCAGCTCTTCAACCTCATCCCATGAAGTAGAAGTATCTTCTGGGTCTGGAATAGTTATGGAAGAAGTACCCAAAATGGTAATAGAACCATGAGGTACGAAAATATCACCATTAGATGGAGCACGCAGACGATTTACAACGTGGCTGGTGATACGCTGATTGAAAGCAATCAGAGTACCCTTGGAAGGACTTACATTACAGTCCAGACCTGCCAGCTGAGCGACCTTGCCAGCCCATGGACCAGCAGCATTTACCAGCATCTCGCACTCAATCTCATATTCTTCTTTGGTTACGTTATCACGAACCTTAATTCCCTTTACCTGACCGCTCTCCACATTTACACCGATAATCTCAGTATAGGTCTTGTAGCGACCGCCATAACGAGCAGCGGACTCCAAGTTCTGCCAAGACATGCGGAAGCCATCAATAGCTCCATCTGGAACCTCATAAGCACAAACCAGCTTGCGGGACAGGTTTGGCACGATACGCCAAGCTTCTTCCTTGCTCAGCTCACGAGTCTTGATACCGCTGGCCTTACAGCCATCCAGCCAAGGCTGTACGAAGTCAGGATCGTCGCCCTCAACCTGTACAAACATACCCATGGTAGCCTCTACGCAGGACTTACCAATCTTACGCAGGATAGTGTTCTCCTCGATACACTCTTTGGCTGCTTCCTGATCCTTTACTGCATATCTCGCACCAGAATGCAACAGACCATGATAGCGGGAGCTGGCACCATTTACCATGTCCTGCTTCTCGATGAGCAGTGCATTTATGCCACGCATCGACAGGTCACGCAGGATACCAACGCCAGTTGCGCCGCCGCCTACAACGACGACTGTAGCCTTGTCCTTTACCATACATAATCCCCCATTTTCCTAAAATACACTTACGAAAGCCTCCGTTCACAGGCCTTCAATAAACATCTCTTTTTCATGTCACATTATTCTAAATCTTTACATTATGTAAAGACATGCAACACAAAATTTCAACTAATCATATAATAAACCTTTTTTATACATAAGTCAACAGAATTAGCAGTATATTTATTAAATTCAGACAATTTGCTTTTAAACACAATAATGACGAAATAATCTTTCTACGTAATAAAATAATAAATAATTTGTATTACTCATTTCCAACCATCAAGTATACATATTTACAATACTTATATCAAAAAATAATTCAAATTGGCATTTTTTGCTTTATTTTCTTAATTAATTACTGTATAATGGTCTTGTTATGGTATAGCGGTATTCCTGTGTAAATTGCATTGACTTTTACCTACTAGTATGCTATGCTAATATCAATCTATAATCAGGGATGTGATATTTTGATAAAACTGTCCCATATCGAAAAGACATACGATAGTCCTTCCGGTCCGGTTCGTGCCTTGAAGGATATCAGCCTACATATCGAAAAGGGAGATATCTACGGTATTATCGGACTAAGCGGTGCCGGCAAATCTACTCTTGTCCGTTGTATCAACATGCTGGAAAGACCTACTCAGGGCAGTGTGCTTGTAGACGGTCAGGAAATGACTACCATGAGCAATTCACAGCTCAGAGATGCCCGCAAAAGTATCGGCATGATATTTCAGCACTTCAATCTGCTGTCATCTGCTACTGTATATGACAATGTAGCCTTTCCGCTCTCCTTGGTAAATGCGCCAAAGGATGACATCAAGAGAAAGGTTACGGAGCTTCTGGACTTAGTTGGTCTTTCTGATAAGGCTGACAAATATCCTTCTCAGCTCTCTGGCGGTCAGAAGCAGCGTGTCGGTATCGCCCGTGCACTTGCCAGTGACCCGAAGATTCTTCTCTGTGATGAAGCCACCTCCGCTTTGGACCCTCAGACTACCAAAGCCATCCTGGAGCTTATCAAGGATATCAACGAAAAGCTGCATCTCACCGTTGTGGTTATCACCCACGAAATGCAGGTTATCAAGGATATCTGCGACAAGGTAGCAGTCATAGAAAACGGTCTTATCGCTGAAAACGGTTCTGTGCTGGAGGTATTTACCAATCCACAGAAGCCTATCACTAAGGAATTTATCAGCGTACTGCTCTCCAATGAGCTTCCTACTGGTATCGAGCCGGAGGAGGTATTCAGCCAGCCATCACCAGACAGGATTACTATTTGCCGTATTACCTTTATCGGTGAAACCTCCAATACTCCTGTTGTTTCTAAAATTATTAAAAAGTTCGACCTTGACCTCAGTATTCTCTCCGGCAGTATCGACCATATCAAGAACACACCGTTTGGCCGACTGACTGTAGGTATCGCTGGCGAACAGGAAAAGGTTGACAGGGTTATAAAATATCTGCAACGTCAAAATCTAAAGGTGGAGGTGCTAGGCTATGTTCGAAGACATGATACCTCTGCTGACTAAGGCATTAGGTGAAACCATCTATATGGTAGCTGTTTCCATGGTGATTGCCACAATCATCGGTATTCCTCTAGGGGTACTGCTTCACACTACTGCCAAGGGACAGATTTTAGAGAATGCCGCTATCAATAGAGTAGTGGGTTCTATCGTCAATGCAGTCCGTTCTATCCCTTTCATCATTCTTCTGGTAGCTATCATACCATTTACCAGATTACTGGTAGGCAGTGCTATCGGTACTACCGCAGCTATGGTTCCATTGGTAATTGCTTCAATAGTACTCTGCGTTGATACCACTGCTT